GGGCATCTCGTGTTCGGGTGTAGTTGCGGGTCAGACCCGAAGACCCTCAACCCCTACACGACACCCCTAAACCTAAACCCCTCGCCCTTAACCCCCTAAACCCTAACCACCACCCCATCCCCCCCCCCACTCTTAAACCCTAATTAAACCCTAAACCCGAAACCCGAAACCCTAAACCCTAGACCCTAAACCCTGAACCCCTTCAAAACGAAGCTGCCTCCCGAAGCTGCGCTGCACGCGGTAGCGAGTGCCCGTGGAGCTGCAGAAAATGGAGGGCCTCGGCGCCTTCGGCGGCCTCCTCTGGAGTTTTTTTTTGCTTTTGTTGGGCTTTGGGGGGGGGGGGGGGGGGGCTTGGGGGGGGGGGGGGGGGGGAGTTTTGAGGTTTTTGGGGTGTTTTCGTTGTTTTTGTTCAGGTTTTGGGGTGCTTTTTTGGGGGTTTGGGGGTTTGGCTGCGTCCTGAACGGCCACAGACACCATCTGCTCATCCGCCGTGCCAAGGGCGGTGAGGAGCCCGGTCACCAGAAGCGTCGGAAGCGCCCAAATTCCCATGTTTGGGGGGGCTTAGGGAGGTTAGGGTTTAAGGGTTTAGGGTTCAGGGAGAAGCGCCCAAATCCCCATGTTGGGTCCAACGTAGTTCCTTTTTGGGCTGGGTATGTGGGATTCTAGTATACTACCCTAAAAAAACTACGCAGGAGGTTTTGGGGGGTTTGGGGGTGTAGGGATGAGTTCTTACCACGAACTCCCTACACATTAGGGATAGGCCCTCACCTCCAGTCTCTGGAGCGTCTGCTCGAATGACACAGCTACACCGACCATAGGGAATTGGAAGGTGGTGCGGTTGTGGGTGGGCTTCGTTGTTTGCATGTGCTTTATATAAGCACTCTTGTAAAGATGCGGAATTGAAGCTTGAAAGCCTCAAACGGGAATCTTCCATGTCGCTCCATGAGGGGATTTGAAGAGTTTCAGGGGAGGTTCCGTCTTCGGTTGTCGGACAAAGCAGCTTGCAAAGGATTGGTGGGCATCCCTCCGCGTGGACGCCTTCGCAAAAGAACCCTACACTCCTGAATCTCCGAAGAAGCCCGAAAGCCCCCCGAAAGCAAAAAACCCTGTCAGTTCCACTATTTGGGACCTGTCTGGGGGGGCCCTGTCGATTTAGGTTCAGCTCGCAGCGACTCGTGTCTTACTTCACCCCACATCCACACGTCTCAAGGCTGAGGGTTCAGGGTCTACAATTTCAATCTCAAGGTTTCGGGTTCAGGGGGTCAAGATTCCCCTCAGAGCCACAAAAGATACTTCCATTTTATGTCAGTCATCCCCTTGGGCTTCGCATGGCTCCGCATGCACAAACATCTTTCTTGGGGGGAGGTGCTTCGCATAGGGGATCCTACTGCAATACCTGCAAGGGGATCCTTGTTGGGACAAACCCCCATGTCGATTTGTTGCCGCCTGCAGGCTTGGAGGGGTCTGAACCTGCCTCAGGGAGGCGTCACGCAGGAATTCGGAAGATTCCACAGCGCATCATCACAACGGAAGGCCACGCAAGACTTGACCAGGCAGTGGACCTGCGTAAGCACGCAGGCCACGATGATGATGACGGCCATTCGCTCGTTGAAGGTGATCAGGGTGTACTCATCCTTTATCTCCCCGATTTTGGTGCCGTCGTGATGTCGGTTGACGTAGTTTCCTGCTTTGTGCTTCAGCCTCCTGACCTGAAACACCAGACGAACCAGACGACTCCTAGGATGGTCCTTAAGACCCTCCGAAAAAAGATTCCTAAATATTATCCTCTTAAGCCCAATAAGGGAAGATGTAAAGTACCCTAAGGGCCTAACCCTAAACCCTAAACCCTAAACCCTAAAATATCCCAAAAACCCGACCTAGACTCCAGGCATGCAAAGAGATCACGTGGGCGAGTCCGATGGCCACCATTGCCTCATTTTGTGGAGTTCTGAGACACCCCCCTAACCCTAAACCCTAAACCCTAAACCCTAAACCCTAAACCCTAAACCCTAAACCCCCCATTGCCTCAAAGTCCGGTGAGCTCGGCTCGGACATGCGCCCCAGCGCGAAGAGCGAGGTCTGCAGCTCCAGCTTCGAACAGTTCCTTGGGGGGGGACCATATAGGGTTGAGGGTTTAGGGTTTAGGGTTTAGGGTTTAGGGTTTAGGGCTTAGGGCTTAGGGCTTAGGGTTTAGGAACCCTAAACCCTAATCCAATGTAAATCCTAAGGTTGGGATTATCCATCCTGCATTAAGTACAACAGCTCGACAAGTATGTGGACCACAAACCCTTGTGGGGCTCATGTAGTCTCCCCACTTGGAGGTTCATGGTACTTATTAAACACTTATAACTCTACTTATATCTGTACTTATAACCCTATTAGGGCACTTAAGGATCTCATAAGTGGGGTATAAGTACAGTTAGAAGTGGTTACAAAGTACCATGAACCTGCCGAGTCTCCATGCGCAAGACGTGGAGGCAACGACAACCATTGTTGTCATGCATGAGTGTGTAGTCCGCCCTCTCTAGGCTATACTCAAACTGCCCATCACTGAGCATGGCCATGCGATTTAGTGCAGCCAAGCTCTTCAGGGCGTCAATGCGCCACACCTTCACGCCGCTGACCACAATGTATCCATCCGGCTCCCCTTTCGCCACGCCCACGCTGTCGCGCTCTCTATCAAGCCCCATCCCATAGTCCAAGCGGCGCAGTGGGCAGGCCGAGGAAACGAAGAACACCAACTGGACTATCCTCTTCTGATCTTGGGGCCCTAAACCGATGCCCCGAGCGCGGACTCATCCGAATCTGCCTCTGGTAAGATGCACTTTTGCTCTTCGCAGCTGCTCGAGTCTGACACAGAAAGCCGCGAGTACCTCAAGAGCCGCGGCGAACTGCAATCTCTTCATGCTGCTGACTGGCAAACCTTGGGAACCAGATGAAGCCTAACATTGGGGATTGGGGCGTCATATGCCCTGTACTCTAATCCCTAGTAAGGTACTATGAACCATACCTCGGTAGGGTTCATGTGGTCCCCAACCCTAAACCCTTAAACCCTACACCCAAAAAAAGGACAAACCCTAAACCCTAAACCCTAAAACCTAAACCCTAAACCCTAAACCCTGCACACACATAGCCACAGCTGAGCCTCCGGCTTGTGCATCACCGACATGGAGGCGACCGCGGTTTCGGCCGCAGGCGACCGGTGCTGCCTTAGTGTTGTGGTGCCGTGATGCTCCAGGGCATTGCATAGAAGGGTTTAGGGTGTAGGGTGTAGGGTGCAGGGTTTAGGGTTTAGGGTTTAGGGTTTTAGGGTTTAGGGCTACGACGCCGCTCAAAAGCACCCTCCGTTGGAAGTCAAAGACTGAGAATCTGGCCCCTGTGCAGACTTGGGCGCAGCACGTTTACGTTGGATCAGGGGGTTGCTCTACGTTAGGGTCCCTCACGGGGTCTTCTTCTCTTGCGAAACCCTAAACCCTAAACCCTAAACCCTAAACCCTACACCCTAAACCCTAAACCCTAAACCCTAAACCCTAAACCCTAGGCCCTAGGCCCTAGGCCCTAGGCCCTAGGCCCTAGGCCCTAATTCGGTTGTACAAGCTGTTAAAAAGTCGACTCAGAGACCTAGCTTTTCCAGGCAGTGCCCACCTGCTCAAACGTTGCGGTGTCTTTGGCCGCTTGCGAGACACTGCTGAGACCCAAGAGTAGGAATCCTGAAACATGCACTACACCGTAACCCTAAAACCCCTGAACCCTGAACCCTACACCCTTTGAACCCTATGTTATGAACCCTCTGAGCCCTATGTTATGAACCCTATGAACCCTATGTTATGAACCCTTTGCTGAGTAGCGGCTTTTTGGCGTGTCAGGGCTCCATACACGAGGCGGGGCGCTGGTCTGCAATTGAAACCCGAGACCCCCAGCGTCCCCAACCCTACACCCTAAACCTTTAATAATAAACAACCTTACACCCTACACCCGAAACCCTAACGCTAAACCCTGAGCCCTAAACCCTATACGGGGGGAACCCGAAGGGGGACGAGAAACCGAACAGTCAACCCCAACAGAAACCCTTGATTTCCCTGGATCAACCACACAACAAACCCAAACCACAGGGCACTCACCTTTTACTACCAGGCACATGGCCCAGTCTTGAGCCATACATGATTTCCGGGTTTATTAACCCTTTCAACTCTCAACACTAACTCTTTTCTACAATACCAGTTGCAGCTCCGCACTCCCCCTGTCCTAGGATTTCCTAGGACACATTGGAGATGCAGATCTTTGGCCAAAAACTGCCATTAGGGCAGCAGCCAGCTGCTTGAAATGCACAATATGGTTTTACGTCTACCAGGACGAAATTATAGCACATTGGCTAAATCCACTAACCAGAGAGAATCTCTTTTCACCATGATCCTCTCATCACTGAAGACTCCTTGGCCTTCTTCACCACAAACCGTGGTCTTCGCTACGCGAAAAGCTACTGACTTCTACTATCAGGGATTTCCATACCCTTAATAGTAACCACCACATTTGTCAGCACATTGGCTGTTCCAGCGCACCTGTCTCCAGAAAGAGAAAAACCATCCCTTCATCCATACCATCCAATCACTTCTTTTTCCGATTGTTGGCAATCTTGAGGTGAAGTTGCAGCAGAATATACTCCAGGTCCGAAACTGCAAGAACAGGATCCTGTACGCCCCTTTGAATTGAGGATACCAATCCTTCTCTTTTTGCGTCCTCAATCGCTTGGCAAGATTGACCCAGCTCTGCACTCACAGCTGTAGACGCTTGCGCATCCACATCAGGAGGACGATCCTTTTCCTCAGGACCTTTCACCACCACCACTTCTCCCTTTTTGGGACTCTGACTTTTCTCCTTCTTCTTCGCCTTTCCGCCGACGTTTGACTTTGTGCGCATTTTCGAGGCTTTTTCCCCTGCAGAAACCGCCGCATTGGATGATGATCCACTCTTCTCAATGGTCGCCGGCATCTTCTGCGGCTTTGGAACCAGGAGAGTGTAAGGATCTTCGATAACTGCAGTTTTCCTCTTCTTTTTAACCTTTTTTGCCTCCTCCTCAACGACAACTTCCGTCTCAGAAGTCTCAACCACCTCCTTTTCGGCAGGAATATCTTTGCTGGACTCCCTTTCTAGGGACCTCTTCTTGCCCCTTTTGGGATCTTTTTCTTCTTCCACGTTGGCTCGCTCGAACCATATCCTCAGGTCATTGACCCATTCTTCCACCTCCTCGAGCGAAACCTCATACGACTTCACTACTTCGTGAAGTTCCAGCACGGACAACATATCGTCGGTCCACGAAACCCATTCTCTATCCATCTGGTCAGCATCTCCATTGAACTTCAGGAGTTTGAACAGTGGGTCCGCCTCTGCTCGAGCCAAATCTGTTTTACCATTGGACAGAAATGAAATCGCTTCCATCAACAGTTCCGACATTTTGGTGTCATCGTCATAAGTCATGGAATACTCCTCACCATCATCGAACTGTTCAGGAGAGATCTCCTCTTCCCCACCTTTTGCACCAGAACTTCTCCTTGGACCATCCCTTGGAGGCGTCCTCGGAGACCTTGGCCTCTGTTCATTCAGCGGATCACCATGCTCAAATACACACCTGTCACCATAACGACACTTCCCAGACTGAGCAAACTGAATGCACCTCACACCAGTTGCATCATGCGAGAACGCACACGTCTTTCCAGCGAAACAGTGTCTCCCCGCCACATAGTATTTGCACCAATACGAATGCAGCACCACATCATCTTCTGAATGGATGAATTTGCAGTCTTCACCAAATTTGCAGCGATCTTTTCCCTTACTGAACCAATAGCAGAAGCCTTTCTTCCTCTTCTCCAAGCGCTCCGCCTCGAACCGGTCCATAGGGCGATTCTGCTCTACATGAACATTGCCATGTGCCTGAGAACTGCTCCCTTCACCCCAGGTGCTATCAGTATTTGATGCTTGGAGTACAGCTGGAAAACCTGGCCTTGGTCCTACCACCTTCATGATTGGTTTTCCGCCAGCTCCTGAGCCACGCTGAGACGATCCAAAAACATTGAACTTCTTCATGAAGGCTTTCCTAGTGCCGATCTTCTGCACCCTTTTGATTGGACGCTTCATTGTTCCAACCTTGCATCCAGATACGTTCAAACGACACAACCTCCTATACCCAGCTCTATATCCCTTTTTCCAAAGAGCCATAAGAATTTTAGAGGCAGTAACATTCTCCACCTCTACCTTTTCCAACGATCCCTCACTTCCCGGAACAAAGCCCATCCATATCTGAAGACCTTTCCATCTTTTTTGACACCACTTCGTCGAGGTAGTCTTCAGAGATCCAGGGTAAGTTCCTCTTAGAGGAAGGATTGTCACCATTGTTTGGTCCTTCACCAGGATACCCCTTTGTGCTGTCAAAGATCTTCCCAGTAGTGCGGTCCTGCGTAGAGAAATTGGAAGCAACGCGAGAGTACACTGACCACAAGAAAATCCTTGTGCCCGCCAGTCTTGACGACCCACTGGATGTCTCCTCTTCCGGAGAGACTTCTGGCGCTTTGCCATCCCTTCCAGTGTCACCAAGTGTCTCACCTCCAGCATCTTCAATGGGAATAAGGGATTCATTGTTCCCTTGATCTAGTACCGCATCTTGTTGATCGGGGATCTCCAGCACCATTCCTGTAGGATCCACTTCCTCATCAGCATCGTCGTCCATTCTTCTCCAGAGAACTTCCAATTGATCAGCGCAGGTCGCTGCCTGAAGGAACTCCATCATTTGATCCCTCCCGTGCTGCCAGAGAAATTCGGAATTCACCACTGTCCCTTGGCCTCCAAGTCTAAGGAATGGAGCGACCAGATTGGCTACCCTTGCCATAAGTTCCACATGAACTTCCATGCCTGGACTGCGACTCCAATCATAGGCTATTGCCTCCATAGCAGTTCCAAACTTTTCAGTATTTCTGAATTCCTTTTCCAGGCCAGGAGAAAGCAGTGCACCCATCACCGAAAGAGGATAATTTCCCACCACCGGCAAGCACGGATTGTCATGGAACGAATGATGCAAATCACAATAATATCCTTGATCTCTCCTTTCAAAAAGGAGTCTCCCAGTATTCAACTGGGCATTCAGTTCATCCACTTGAACCATTTCAGCACATATTCTCTGTGCTGTGTACGCCATTGCTGGCCAGAAGGAACGATCGGTCAGACCACGACGCATAACCCAATCAGTTGTTGGCGGACTGAATCAGCGTCCTTGGATCATACACCAGAACTACCATCGCACCGTCACCCATTGACTGATCAGCATCGTCCTCCAGTGCCAGGTTCTCATCCTGTTCGCTTGCACCCTCGGATGACATGCTAATAACCAAATTTCGATCCATCTTATTGGACCCTTTTTGGCAGTCTCTTTGCCCCACCGGCAACTTGCCAACTGCAACCTTCCAATAAATCCGATTCAGAAGACCTTTAACCAGCAATTGCTGAGGAACA